CACCTAACCATACTTACGTGTCTTCATTGAGTTCTTCTTACATTCCCCCAACTGCACTGGCAGTTGCATGTAGATGATATACAAAATGTAACAAGAGAACTGGCCAAAACACACCGTTAGTGGGGAATCAGTTTTGTTAGGAAGAACGAGATTCCAAGGTAAATAAAAAGAGAGGCAGACGCGATTAACGGCCCGTCTATGGCCTGCCTTAGGCAAAAAATCTTTAGTCTCCTCTAGAAATGAAGAAAAAGGACTCAGTTTGTCATGACATAAAACTGATTAGTGTTAAAAAAAAGGTGAAACGTAGCAGAGCATAAAATAAATGAGCCAATCAGTGATAAACAGTGACTGAAATTTCACCAGAATTTGAATTCAAGGTAAACCAAGGTGGTATAAATCCATCTTCTCTGTGGTCTTGCCAACCTCTAATTCATATGTGTGTGCTTTATACAGAAAGACGGATTTATTAAAGGACTTGGGAATTTGTTTCAACAATCCAATCATGTGCAGATAACATAATGAACAGGGGAATGTACTTTTCATGTCGTATCGGGTCATTAAACAGTGCACAGCAGAAATACATCAGGGAAATGCAAACTATAGGCAGGATAGCAGAAAACTGATAATTACAATACTTAACCACTTGCCCATTTTCCCTGAGGATTTACCCTCGTTCCTGACCAGGCCATTTTTTGCGATACAGAGCTGCATTGAATGTTTACTGACAATAATGCACATCATGCAACTCTGCACGATCTTAAATTACATTTATGTCTTTTTTTTTCCCAAAAATAGTGCTTTCTTTTGGTGGTATAAATTGATTGCCTGTGCATACATTTTTTATTTTTTGCGTTCTATAAAAAAGATTGCCAATTTTGAGAAAAAAAACAGGACAAGGCCTTCATTTTTGACATTTTTTGCTATAAAACATATCCAATAGTAAAAAAAACTTTGTCTCTCTTTAAAAGTCAAATTTATGTCATAAATTTAGGAAAAATGTATTTCTGATACATGCCTTTGGATAAAAAAAATACGCCCCAATACAAATTAATTGGTTTGAACAAACATTGTGAAACCCTTTATAGCATCTACGAATGGCGGATGACAAATGACTAATTTTTTTTATATACTAGTAATGGCGGCGATGAGTGACTTATAGCAGGACTGTGTCCTAAAAAAAACAGATTCTTGAAAGGGCATTCTGACACTCGGGAGGAACTGACTAACTGCCACTGGCATCCCCAGTTACACTCCAATACAGTGTTCATGCTAATGAAGGCGGAATCCAGTGTTAAAAAGCACTGACACTGTACTAATGGCACTGGGCAGGAATGGGGTGCTGTTTTACTATGAAAACATACTGCTTTAGCTGAGCAATACAAAGCAGCATGTCATGCTGGCAGGGGAGATGATCAAATATGTGTGTATCTTTTGTTTACACACATTGGGCGACCCCTCCCCTTTCACTGTTCCTTGACCAGGACCCTCCAGGTGCTGGTGGGGAATCTCTGACCAGGACTCGGTGATTGACAGCTGTAGTCGCCAATGGCGACACAGGTAGGGCAGTAAGTGCACGCTCCTCCTACCCGGAAATGCGAAATCGGCCAATATTCACACACCGTTAGTGGGGCAATATCTCTGGCCCTAGATCGGCCGTAGGGTATTTTTTCGCGGATCTTCTTGTCTACTATTTATCGGTCATGCTGGAAAATGAATTTTACGAAAAACAGCCATTTTTAAGATCCAATCTTGTTTTATGGACATTGGTGGCAGCATCACTGCCAGCAATGACTGATTTTTCGTTTGTCGGCCGAAAATTTGGCCGATGCGCCAACGGGTCCCGTCTATGGGCCTGCCTTAGTGTCAATAGTGATGTAAGTGTCAGTGTAGTGTACCTGTTTAGCACCAGATTGACCACTACACTATCACAGTCCCACATAAATTGCTGATCACAGCCATTACCAGAATAGCGTCACTAGTTGCATAAATTTCAGTATATAGCTACCATGTGGATACCATTTTTAGACGCTATACAGGAAACTTTCACACAAACCAATCAATATACACTTTTTGGCATTTTTTGAACCAATAGGACATGTAGCAGAATACATTTTGGGTGTAAATTTATGAAAACATTTAATTTAACTTTTTTATTGGATATGTTTTATTTTATTCATTGGGCTAGTTTTTTTTCTCAAAAAATAGGTGCAGGAACTCCTCCACTCTGAGTCACTTCTTTTCTCCACCCTCTACACCGCCTCCAAGACCGTCACTACTTGGTACCACTTTTTTATTGGATATGTTTTATCAGGGCTTTTTTTCCTCAAAAACCTCCTACCCACTTCCTCCCAGTACCCTCTCCTTTTAGAAAATACAGACCTCTCCTTTTAAAAATACAGAGCCATTTTGTAGTGCTAAATAATTTGCATGAAATTGTTAATGATAACAAGAAAAAGCAAAACAAAAGATCCCCTGCAGCCAACAGCAATAGATCACCTGTGGCAACAATAGATTTCTCCAGCAACAATGGGTCCCCAAAACAAAATACCACCCAGCCACAATAGACCCACAGCAGCTACAACAGATCTCCCAGCAGCCAGCATCAATATACTCTCCAGCAACTAGGAACAATAAACAATAGATCCCTTCCTCAACAGTAAATCCCTTCCAGCAACAATTGACCCCCATCAACAATAGATCCCCCGCCAGCAACAATAGACCTCCCCAGCAACAATAAACTGCCACACAAAAATAGATTCCATTCAGTGACAATAAACCCCCCAGCAGCCAGCAACAATAGATCCCCCAGCATACTCCCAACACCCCTGGCCATTACATACATACAATCAGTGTTGGAGGTGCCAGAACTGCATTCTCCTGTGTTCCCGCTGAAAAAAATGCCTGTATTTTATATTAGAAACTATAAAAAAACATTTTCCCCTAAATTTTCTGTCTTTTTTCATTTATATAATAGTAAAAACAAAGATGATCAAATACTAACAAATGAAAGCTCTGTGTGAAAACAAATAATAAAAATATAATTTGGGTACAGTGTTGCATGACCGAGCAATTGCCAGTTAAAGTAGCACAGTGCTAAATAGCAAAAAATGGTTAAAGTGGAACTAAAACCTCTTATCCTCTACAGCAAAGAAGCTGCCATCTTAGCCTCTGTTTGATCTACATTTGCCATGGTGCTGCACATTAAATCAGTAAAATATATCCAGAAAACTTGCCTTAAAAATGTAACTGCAAATAAAAAAAAAAAAGATATATATCTACAATTTATTGTATGAAGCATCCCAATATAAATCAGCCTCATCATCTTCTGTTCCACAATCTATGCATGAATGAACTGGATCAAGTGATAATCACTGTTCTCTTTGGAAGAAGAGCATTCGGAGCCTGCTGTAATTGATAGGACAATTTAGAAGCACTATACTTCCTTAGCAGGTACTGCCCACACACACTAGGGGATTCTGAGAGGCTTCACTCAATGAACTAGTAATTTGCACAAGATGCCAACATTCAGAATCCAATCTGCCCAATTACAAGAAAAGTGAGTTTTGTGAATTTTGCTCATAACTAATAAAACATGAGTTTGAGATAGTTCATTTGTATTTTGGTAAGTCTCTTTCAAAACCTTTACAAGTTTGTTTCAGAGCGTTGGAAAACATAACATGTCAGTGTTCTTTAGGGACACATTCTTCATAGTATAAAGGACACTGTAATGATTGGTAAAATATAATGATATTTGAGGTCACTAGGCCAAATCTGTGACCTGTATAAAATGACATGCTACTGTATGTGGTCATCTGACTTACGTGGTATGTGTCAGAAATGCATTACATTATTCTATATTACAATTTATTTACTTATAGTAGAATATCAATTTATGTGCCACAAATCTCCTTGTGGGAGGAGTTCCGCATAACTCTGAAATATTGCATTGTGATTTCCATTATGCTTCGATAACAGACATACTTTATGGAGAAGGCATGCTGAAGACATAATTTGTTACTTATATTCTACATAGCTCTTAATCTGAGAATGGGATAAGTAAAGCAGTGTCTTCACTGGTTTCAGCATCCCCTTCTCTCTGAACCAATATACCCTGAAACAAGAGAATGCTTAGAAATAAAAAAAAAATCACATGTAGCACCCTCATAGTTTAGGATCCTAGGTAAATTTAGTTTTGACTACTCTTGTAATCTAGGGAGCAGTAATTGTTCAGCCTGGCCTGGGAGTTTGATTGCTTCTCCCTGCCTCCAGAAGAATTTAAATAACCACCTTGGATATTTATCAGGTCCAGCCAATCCACAAAGGAGTGTGCACAAGGGAGTTGGAATGGTGATAAATAGTCTGAAGGTGACAGCTGTCCTGGGGACTTATGAGTAAAGACCCTGGACTGATCTCTGTGACTGTGTAGTGTTCAGGAAGCTGCACTAGGTATTAACAGTTGTGCATCATTGCAAAGTAACCAGGTCCCAAAAAAGGATTTGCCCCATGGTCTTCACCTGTGAGGCCTTAAACTGTTCAACACCCACTATTATTCTAGAAGAAGATTTTCCCCTGATCTCTAAGTGCTGAGCATTTTGGAGTATCCCATGCCCTAGCCTCCCTCTCCTGTTAAATTTCCTCAAGCAATAAACTACAAAAAAAGACAACCCCCTAGACTGATTCATTGGAGCCAGAGTGAATGGACTGGTAGCCTCTGTACTGTTAGGAAAGATTTAGCTGTTACCAGCGACCCCTATGTGGGTAGCACTACACACATGCTAATTGAGGAACAAATTTTCTTACTATAGTTAGCTATACCCATAACGTTCTCTAGATCTGAATATGTATGCCCTTACTGTTCCTTATAACTAGAGATGAGCGAATTATTAAAAAATTCGATTTGGCTGATTTGCCGAATTCGCAGAATAAATTCGATTCGAGGCGAATATATTCGCTGCGAATTTAACGTGTAAAAAGGGTGTTTTCTAGGCTTCAGAGAGCCTTTATATTAGTGCAGAACACTGTACCTTTAATTTAAATGCCCTTGGAGTCTGCTGGGGAAGAGAAATAATACTGTCAGTCAGTATGACATGCAGATGAGTGCCGTCGATCTTAGAATCACCGCACACTTCACTCATTTGGGCAGTCACGGGGCCAAAACCAGAGTGTGGAGCCACAGTGTGGCGGTGGAGGCAGCAGCAATGGGAGGCCATACAGCACCCTATGACAAAATGGAACCCACCAGCAGTGTGAGGAGACCTGAAAGTGGCACATGGCAGAGTGTGGCGATGGAGACAGCAGCAATGGAGGCCGTACAGGGACCCATGACACACTCTGGACCTGGCAGCAGCATGAGGAGGCAGTACAGGGGCCCATGACAGATTACGGGCCTGGCAGCAGCATGAGGAGTCGGTACGGGGGCCCATGGCAGATTACGGGCCTGGCAGCAGCATGAGGAGGCGGTACAGGTAGTATGGTAGTCGTCGACTATCAAGAGTCCAATGGCAGAGTGGCGGAGCAGAAGCAGCTTCAATTGAAGGCCATACACAGGCCTAGGTTTAAAAGTCCCTCACAGTTAATTCCAATAACGAACTCTACTCCTCCGTGCAATCTACTTACGAGACCCTGGGCAGGTCTGGGTCCAATTTGTGGTAGAGACTGGTTTTGTTCAGCCATGCTTGAGCGAGTAATAACAGGTCTGTGCTGCCCTTTGGTGTCTGGCTTAATGCGCACAACACTGAACGTCCCAGCGTTTGTCAACGATTTGCCGTTAAGTGATGCAAACCCGCTGAACCACGTTCATGAGGAGCCGGTACAGGGGGCCATGAATCAGTATGGACCTGGCAGCAGCGTGAGCAGACGACAGAGGCACATGGCGCAGGGTGGCGGTGTAGGCAGCATTATTCTGAAGCCATACACAGCCTAGGTTAAAAGCGGAAGCCGTCAGCAGCGTGAGCAGACGACAGAGACACATGGCGCAGGGTGGCGGTGGATGCAGCAGTATTCGGAAGCCAAACACAGGCCTCGGTTAAAAAGCGGAAGCCGTCAGCAGCGTGAGCAGACGACAGAGGCACATGGCGCAGGGTGGCGGTGGAGGCAGCAGCAATGGAAGGCCATACAGCACCCTATCACAAAATGGAACCGTCCAACAGTGTAAGGAGACCTGAAAGTGGCACATGGCAGAGTCTGGCGATGAAGTCAGCAGCAATGGGAGGCCATACAGGGACCCATGACACACTCTGGACCTGGCAGCAGCAAGAGGAGGCGGTACAGGGGCCCATGGCAGAGTGGCGAAGCGTAAGCAGCTTAAATTGAAGGCCATACAGAGGCCTATGTTAAAAATAATAACATGTTTGGGGCATGATTCATGGCGGATTTAGTCAGTTTGTGTCAGGAACTGGTGGTTGAAATCCAGACTAATCCACGCCTGATTCATTTTCACAAACGTGAGTCTCTCCACACTTTGGGTGGACAGTCGTGTCCTCCGCGGAGTTACAATACCTCCTGCCGCACTAAACACGCGCTCCGATGCCACGCTACTGGCCGGCATGACAGCCTTTCAAGGGCAAATTCAGCTAGTTGGGGCCAAAGGTCAAGTTTCGTTGCCCAGTAGTCAAGGGGATTGTCTACCTCGGTTGGCATGGTGCTGTCCAAGTAGGCCCGAGCCTGTTGTTTGAGGTCCTGCTCCAGGTCCACCTGATGCTGCTGCTGCTGCGGCTGGTTAGTAGTTTCCTCACTTCGCGCTGGTGAAGAAAGCTACTCATCATCGACTGCAGACTGAGGCAGCCGCTGCTGGTGGAGCTGCCACTGCTCCTACCACCCCACCCCTCCCCTGCTGCCATGGCAGCGGAACGCGAGCGCACAGGGCCCACAGTGTCTGAGGATGGACGTTGGCGCAGAAAGGCAGAGACCAACTGACTACATAGGTGGTTTTTTATAGTACTTTATTTTGGCCTCCCTCTCAGCAGGTGTGAAAAAGGCCACCATTTTTGAACAGTAGCGAGGGTCCAACAAGGTGGACAGCCAAAAGTCATCCCTCTGTCTGATAGTTATTATTCGGGCTGTCGCTACGCACGCAAGCAACCGAGCATGCTATGGGCCATTTGTGCCAAGGAATGCGAGGGACTCCCTGCCTCCATCTCCACAGCATACTGCCACGGTGCGTCTGGGTCCTCTGTCTCCTCCTCCTCCTCTACCAGATGCTCCTGCTCCTCCACTCCTGTCCGCTGAGTGGAAAAACCACCCATTTCACTCAATAATTCCTGAGCACCAATGTCCTCCTCTACCTCCTCCTCTTCTTCCTGTCCTGCCCCCACAGGGGCCATGTGGCGTTGAGATCTGTGCGCCACGTCTACCGCACCCTGACCAGCCATTGTTAACAGCATTTGTTCCAGGACGTGCAACAGAGGAATGACGTCGTTCATTCCCATAGTCCTGCCGACTCACGAATAGCGTGGCCTCCTCAAAGGGCCTGAGCAAGCGGCAGGTGTCACGCATGAGCTGCCAATGGCTGACATCTAAGTTACACAGGGGAGTACCTTTTATCCGCTTGTAACATCAGGAAATCGGTGATGGCCTTTCGCTGTTCGTAAAGGCGGTCTAACATATGTAGGGTTGAATTCCACCTTGTTGCAACATCGCAGATCAGGCGATGCTGTGGAATTCCGTTCTGCCGCTGCAGCTCAAGGAGGGTGTGCTTTGCGGTGTAGGAATGGCTGAAATGCATGCAAAGTTTACGTGACATTTTAAGGATGTCTTGCAGTGGGATGGTGGATTTTAGGAACCGCTTGACAACCAGATTGAACACGTGAGCCATGCATGGCGCATGGCACAACCTTCCTTGACGCAGAGCAGACACCATGTTCTTTCCGTTGTCGGTCAACATGGTTCCGATTTTCAGTTTGCGCGGGAGACAGCCATCTGTCGATTTCTCTGTTCATTACACTCAGAAGTTCCTCTCCCCTGTGTGACTACGTTCGCCAAGGCATACCAGGTGCAGCACAGCGTGACACCGTTGCGCCCTGCACATGTGATATGCCGGTCGGGTAATGGGACTTGGCACGGGGGTGGCGGCTGAGGACACGGCGGAAGAAGAGGTGGTAGAGCGGACATCTTTGCCGGACCAAGGACGTGCAAACGTGGAGGCAAAAGCGGCGTGACCTGTCCAAGTTGCTGGTGCGGCTGTGCCGGCACCACGTTCACCCAGTGGGCCGTAAATGACATGTACTGTCCCTGACCGTAGTTACAGCTCCCACACGTCGGCGCTGCCGTGCACTTTGGCAGAGAGACCGACATGCTCAAAGACTGGCCCACCATCTCTTCTACATGTGAATGCAGGGCTGGCACTGCCTTTTTGGCGAAGAAATGCCGGCTTGGCACTCTCCACCGCGGCGCGGCACAAGCCATCATTTCTCGGAAAGGTGCTGAGTCCACCACTTGGAAAGGGAGGGACTGCAGCACCAGCAACTTGGACAGGAGGACGTTCAGCTTCTGCACCGTCGGGTGCGTGCTCGCAAACTGTTGTCTCTTGGAAACGGATTCCAAGAAAGACTGCTGACGGAATCCGTGAAGAGGAGTAGCAGGAGAAGGAGCATCTGAACGAGCGGAAGATGGCAACGAGCGACAACTCCCCTCAGCAGAGGTGTTGGAGCCTTGACTGGCTGATAGAGGGCGATTGACGTCGGGTGACGGAGCAAGTAACGGAGCGGGTGATGGAGCGGGGGCTGGGGCAGGCAGAACCGCCGTATCTTTATCACGGTTTTCCCAGGCCACCAAATGGCGACGCTGCATATGCTGACGCAACTCTGTAGTCCCAACATGGGCCCCCTGGCCACGCTTGACTTTCTGGCCACATAGTCGACATACGGCTACGTTTACTTCCTCGGGCGGCTTGAGGAAAAATTGCCACACCGCCGAGTAGGAAACTTTGCCCCCGCTACTCCTCACTGGCTGACTGCTACTTCCTCCGTGCAGACCGGCACCACTACTGGCCGTGGTGGTAGGCTGCAGTGGAGCTGGTGCTCTACTCCGTGGCCGTTTGGCTCCACTGACACTGCTGCGACCCTGCTGCCTCCTGGCCAAACCCACCGACTGTTTTGCTCGCTGCCAAGCTGGCACCCTCTTCTCCTGATGATGCGGAAGAAATGCCTGATGACGACGAGGCTGCCAAGTGCGATCAGCCTCCTCATCATCAATTAGGGTCTCCGCCTCACTACTAGCCCCCTCGGCTGCGTGTGGGTCAGGAGGACAGACCTGTCTCTAGACCGGCTACCGAGCCACTCTCCTCGCCAGTACTTCTTCGCCTAGCTGCTGAAGAGGCGGATGTCTCCCCCCGTTCCTGACCGCCCTCTGTTAGCTCTTCCTCACTGTACAGTGGGGCTGAGCCCACAGCATGCGATACTTCGCTTGGTGAGGGAACAGCAAAGGACAGGGGCAGGTAGAGGACATGTGATTTCAGTGGGCTTGCTCCCGGGCCCCCGTTCCTGACCGCCCTCTGTTAGCTCTTCCTCACTGTACAGTGGGGCTGAGCCCCACAGCATGCGATACTTCGCTTGGTGAGGGAACAGCAAAGGACAGGGGCAGGTAGAGGACATGTGATTTCAGTGGGCTTGCTCCCGGGCCATGCCAACTAACGGTTGTGTCTGACGTACACACCGACCGTTGGCTGTAGGTGTCAGAGGTGACCTGGGAAGAGGAAGACGACTGAGCCAACCAATCGATGACGGCAGGGTTGTCGGTGGAGACACGACCGCTGGATGACACCGGGAGCACTGGCCTCTGGCTGCGACTAGTGCTGCCTCGACCCCTTCCTCTGCTGCCACGTCTGCTCGCTCCTAAAACATTGCCTCCTCTGCCACTCCTCTGCGTGTTGTCTGACATACTCTTTAATTCAACGATTCTGTGTCCCTGAGTAACAATTCTTTGTCCCTCAGTAACAATTCTGTGTCCCTGAGTAACAATTCTGTGTCCCTCAGTAACAATTCTGTGTCTGTACCTGAGTAACAATTCTGCGTAGCTGAGTAACAATTCTGTGTCCCTCAGTAACAATTCTGTGTCCCTCAGTAACAATTCTGTGTCTGTCCCTGAGTAACAATTCTGTGTCCCTCAGTAACAATTCTGTGTCCCTCAGTAACAATTCTGTGTCTGTCCCTGAGTAACAATTCTGTGTCCCTGAGTAACAATTCTGTGTCCCTCAGTAACAATTCTGTGTCTGTCCCTGAGTAACAATTCTGTGTCCCTGAGTAACAATTCTTTGTCCCTCAGTAACAATTCTGTGTCCCTCAGTAACAATTCTGTGTCTGTCCCTGAGTAACAATTCTGTGTCTGTCCCTGAGTAACAATTCTGTGTCTGTCCCTGAGTAACAATTCTGTGTCTGTCCCTGAGTAACAATTCTGTGTCTGTCCCTGAGTAACAAATCTGTGGCCCTAAGTAACGGTTCTGTGTCCCTAAGTAACGGTTCTGTGTCCCTAATTAATGGTTCTGTGGCCCTAAGTAACGGTTCTGTGTCCCTAAGTAACGGTTCTGTGGCCCTAAGTAACGGTTCTGTGTCCCTAAGTAACGGTTCTGTGGCCCTAAGTAACAGTTCTGTGTCCCTAAGTAACGGTTCTGTGGCCCTAAGTAACGGTTCTGTGTCCCTAAGTAACGGTTCTGTGGCCCTAAGTAACGGTTCTGTGTCCCTAAGTAACGGTTCTGTGGCCCTAAGTAACGGTTCTGTGTCCCTAAGTAACGATTCTGTGGCCCTAAGTAACGGTTCTGTGTCCCTAAGTAACGATTCTGTGGCCCTAAGTAACGGTTTTGTGTCCCTAAGTAACGATTCTGTGGCCCTAAGTAACGGTTCTGTGTCCCTAAGTAACGGTTCTGTGTCCCTAAGTAACGGATCTGTGTCCCTAAGTAACGGTTCTGTGTCCCTAAGTAACGATTCTGTTACACAGACAGGTCTGCCTCTCTTGAATGACTGGAGGCTAATGGAGAATTCTAAAATGGCCGCAATTTATAGCTCGACCATTACACAGTGCTGGCTGGCTGGCTGCTGATTGGCTAATCCGATCACATGTCATGAATGAATGCATTATGGGTCAGCGCGCCTTGTCTGCACGCCTTCCCAGAGATCCCCGCTCCGTCGCCGCACATGTCGCCGCCATTTTAGGAAAAATTTTGATTCGCGCATCCGAAGTCTGCTAATTTTCGGATTCGGCGCGAATCAAAATTTTCCTAATATTCAAAACGAATTCCACTTTGCCAAGTTCGATTCGCTCATCTCTAATTAGGACGTCATCTGCA